ACTTTTAAATAGAACTAAATGCTATTTCTTGAGCAGCAACAGTAAAGTTCACAACAATAAAATCACTATATATATATTGGACTGGAAATACAGCCAAAAGAACTTTCTCTTGTTCCCCGTCTAACTGTCCTCTTGTCCTTTTCCCTCTTCTGTTGTTGTGATTCGATTCCTGCTGGTACCACTGGGGAGAGGAAGGTTCAGGCTACATACAGGCTAAATTCAGAATGTCACAGTCACAATGCTTATTTCCTGTTGCCAGAGGTGGCGCCATGACTACGACTTACAGTAATACTGGCTTTGAGATACATATTAATTGTTAATTTACAGCACTTCTTCAAGGGGGCCAGGTTTTGCAAGTTTTTGATCATCCATAGTCTTTTTAACAACAATTTCCTGATTCATAGACATGACATCACCAGTTCCAGCCATCTGATGAAAACATCGAATTTTCACAATGAAGCTGAGATCCAGTCCAATTTTGGGAGCTTTCATATTGTCCATCTTTACTTATAGTTTCATAACAGTTCCGGTTGCCACAAAGTGGTATGTAGATGTCTTCAGGTCAACTCCTATTAAACAGGAAGTTTGGTGTGGATTGAAGAACAGTGTTATCTGACAGTCTTCATCATTAGGAATTTTCATTCTTTAGGCTTTTCTGACAGCTTTCAATTATTGAATTGCTGTGAAACATAGATCAAAGTGTAAAACATGTCATTTCCTGTAGCCAGCTGATGGCACTATAACTATAACTCAAAACTGGAATTGCTTTTTTTTTGCTTTTTGTCCCCACTGACACATGTAAAGCGTCCTTGGGGCTCTTGAAAGGCGCTATATAAATTAAAGCTATTATTATTATTATGTCAATGTCTTTCCATCAGGTTTCATATTAAAAAGAAAAAGGGGCCGATTGGACAATGTATTATTGAGTTACGATGCCATGTCGCTACAAGCTCCACTGTTCAACAAACACTAAAATGCATTTCAGTTTACCATAGCAAAGATCTTTTGACTGCAGGGGACAAATATTATATTATTATTAATATTATACATTTTCTATGGGGAGTCGAAAATGGCTCACCTCCTGTTCGGTTAAGGATATGGCTCCAGGAGGCTTCTATGGCAGTCATACATGTAGGTGAATGAGGTGAAATGTATATGTATATATTCAATTCAATTCAGTTCAATTTTATTTGCATAGCGCCAAATCATAATATACATTATGTCAAGGCACTTTACATACAAGGTCAAGACCTTAAAATCTTATTTAATATAGAGAAACAGTTCCCACACTGAGCAATGTGCAAATATACTTCCTTTGGGTAGTTTTAACAGGAAGCAACACATATAGTTCCTTGCAGGTGGCATCCAGCTGTATTATCTGTGAAGTCAGACTATCAATCAATCAATCAAATGTATTTATATAGCACAACAATAAGTGCTGCACAAACTAAAGGTTCAGTGTGTAGAATTGAGTAATGAATTTGCATGTTGCAGCTGAGTGACCCTCACCTTACCCTCCCCTTCCAAACATAAAAAATACCTGTGGTAGACTTACATTTTTATATAAACTCAAAAGGTGTTTAGTTTTTCCAGTCTGGACAACTGTAAAAAAACACGGCGGCCTCTGTAGAGAGGACCCCCTCCCAATGTAAATATAAAGTATTTAAATATAAAAGGGCAATTCTAGGGTAAAGAAACAACCATTTGTACAATTTAGATTATTACACACTAATGAAAACATTGCTAGGATTAATTTATGTTCAATTTCTGCCAATAGATCCCTTTCACCTAAATCTAACACACTGAACCTTTAAAGACGTAAAGGCCTGGATGACCTATATTTTTTTAAACTTCTAAATACAGACAAAATTGAAGCCATTGTCCTTGGCCCTAAACCCCTGATAGTAACATCATCTGACCAGATAGTTACCTTGGGTGGCATTAGCTTGGTCCCCAGCTCTTTTCTAAGGAACCTTCAGGTTAAATTATGACCTGTCATTAAATTCACACTTAGATTAAAGGTCCAGTGTGTGTTTTAATTCATCTGAAGGCTACCACAGATTCTCTTTCATGTTTGGAAGGGGAGGCTTAGGTAAGGGATGTTCAGCTGCAACATGCAACTTCAACATTAGATGTCAACAAAATTCTACACACTGAACCTTTAAGTCTCAGGATGGCTCTCTTCCACAAACACAATATTATGAAAATTAGAAAGATTCTGTCTCTAAAGCATGATGATAAACTAGTCCATGCATTTTTTATCGCTAGACAAGACTATACTGACAGAAACTATAAAAAAGAGATTATATTACTTCTGTGAGAGCTTCTCTGCATTGGCTGCATCCCCATTAAATTGTAAAACATAAAATGGTAAGTATTTATATTTTCTAGTCTTAATGAGCGCTTAAGGTGCTTTACACTACAGTTTGCCATTCACCCACACACACATTCATACAGTGCATCTATTAACAGCACTTTTTTTGTTCTACGGGGCAATTTGGGTTTCAGCATCTTGCCCAAGGACACTTCAGCATGAAGATGGGAGGACAGGGGATTAAGCTGCTGACCTTCTGGTTGGTGGATGACTGCTCTACCCCTCAGCCACAGCCGCCCCCCAAAACATAGATTTCAAAATCCTGCTCTTCAAATACAAAGCCCCATTCCTTGAGTCTTTAAGAATAGAGTGGTAGACCCTTCACCTACCAGCCTCCTCTCCTGTGGAACCAGCTTTAAATTTGTGTTTTGGGGACAGACATCTTATTTATGTTTAAGGTAAGACCTGAACCTTCCTTAATTATGCTGCTAGGCCTTGAGTTTGGGATGAACTCCCATCATGCTCTGAACACTTCTCTATGGCTCTTCGTCTCCTACCTCTGGCCCTCCATGTGTCCTCTCTCTCCTGTACTTATATGCACCCCCCACTCCCTCCTCATTCTGTCTTTGACTCCAGAACTGCAGGATCCAGATCTGGCACTACTCAATTGTTATTATTATTACTATGAATTAAATATTTGGCGATGTAAACATGCATAATCTTTGCTGAAACTTTGTACAAAATACATATGTGCAAGAAATGTACTTGTTAAGTGTTTTTTGCACAAGGGCATGTTTTACCTAAATGAAAATAGGGCATATGTATTATGTCTAGACCCACAAAAAGGTTTCAAGGACCCATACTCCAAACCCAACAGGAAGTCTCACACATCGTACTTTAATGAACTCCTCCTAGAGGATTAATCAGATTGACTTCAAATTTGGTCAGTGTGATCTAAACACCTTGATGATGAAAAGTTGTACTCTTCATGAGGTTTTGTTAGAGGATGTAGCGCCACCTACTAGCAACAGGATGCACACCTCAAGGATGTGACATCAACCATCACTACTATTATTTTCATCATCACAACCATTCGGACAGAGCTTAAATAGGACAGTTACAGAACTGTTCCTGGTCCCCCTGGCAGATGGCCGCAAACACAGACTCCTGCCAGAGGTTTTGTCCTCCAAGAGAGGGAGTTTTTTTCTCACCACAGTCACCAAGTGCTTGCTGTTTGTGGGAAATATTGAAACTTGAGATAACGTTTGTTTTGATTTAGTGCTATACAAATAAAATTCAATGCAATAACAATAGGGCTATCTCTTACATTTTCTAGGGGCCATCCTTTTAACCATTCTGCCCCTCAAAAGTGCTAAAAGTAAAAGAGGGCATCATTGAGCTAGCATACCACATCCATGACAAATCCCGTATCTATAAATTGAAACACTTGCAAGTCCAAACAGTGGTGCATTAATCTGATTAATATCAATCAACATTATTCTTATATATATCAGTGTTGATAAACCTCATTCTCATTTAAGAGGACTTTGTTAAAGTATGGAAAATAATTCTCCCAAAACTGCACAGTAAATTCAAAATGACTTTCTCCCTGTTGGGTTTGGCTTCGGGCTCTAGGAGGCATCTTTGTAAGTCTTAGGATGATATACTTACATATTATGAAATGTATGCATGTATAGTTGAAACATCCTTTAATTTGCTTATTCAGGCAGCTTTATCCCAACATGATCCTGTATTATGTTCCTTCATAATAATCCTTAAATAGGTTCCTTGCATCTATTTTGGAAGGGACTGTTCCAGCCCTGGCATCATAATTTCATGTTTCACCAAGACATGTTCTTTTTCATAGGTGCTCCATTCTACATTATATTTTTTCTACTTATATATTTTCTTTTGTTATTTTACTACACACAAAACTTATTTTTTTGTTTTCACAATATAAAATATAACTTAATCTTGTTATATATGATGAAAGCCAATTTTTATCCTTACAACATAACAGATATCTTGTTATATCTTCATATTATCTGCTGGTGAAAGCATTCAAAGTTTGGTTTTACTGTATTTTTGTAAGTAGTATTTGTATAAATGTTTATATTTATTTGCTATTTGCTTTTTGTGTTAGTATTGGAACCTTTTTGTTGTAAACAGTAATGTAACCCACTTTACAAAGCATTTATTTCTAATATACAGCTTAGGGGTATTGGTGGAGACACATCAAGGTTTAGTTCACATTAGGCAAAATATGATGACAGAAACATACATGCAGTGCTTGCTACGTACAGTACATGCATAGGCTCAAAGGGGACTCAAGACAACAGCCCCAAGACTTTATAGTTGTGCCTCTTTACACTTACTCTCAGAGACCAGAGTCGTCTGTGATACTCAATGATCATGAATTGCTGGAAATCTTTATTTTACCAGTGTAGAGTTGTGTGTTTGAATTTGCAATGTCTACTTTCAGTTCAATGTAATATGAATATCAGTATGGTCAGTATGTATCAGGATACAAACCATTTTATTTCCACTCCTCTCCCTCTCTCACAAATAGACCGACCAGTAAACAACATTGAAGAAGAGGAAGGAAAAAGGGAAGAGGGCTCTTGCATAGAGGTCAACGCGTTTGGCAGCAGCAGGTATGACAGGTTTGGGGGGTGGGGGTTTCTTGTTATTTTTATTTTGGGACTTGAGGGCTCCTGTCACTTCGACTGGTTTACCATAACAGTCAAAGTTGGAAAGTTCAAAGTCTCGAGGTAAAGATCCCACGATGCTGAAGTCATTCGATCGAAGGTCCGACTTAGAGGTGCAAACTTTCTTACAGCGAGTTTCAACCACCTGGTAAAAAATAGAGACTGATTGAAATTTGCCAATCGGCATTGTTGCTCATAGAATTTTGCATATTAACATCATGTGTAATTTAATGTAGTTCAGGCTAATTTCTGCTCAAAGTTAGATATGTTTGTAAAAATGGACAGATCTTTTGTCCGTAATTTTGTTTGTATTTGTGCACGTCTTCTGAAAGGTCACAGTTATGGACAAAAGAGACAAATGGAGCTGTACCACCAGAGGTCATAGGGGCCAGTGTAGCCAATAGTTCAAGAGTGACTATCATAGGACATGACGAAGAAATCACAACAATCACGGAACTGGAGGAGAGAAGGAGAGACTTTGAAAGTTGGCATGAAACTACAGGCATCTACGTTTATGATGTTACTTCAGACGGGTACAAACAGCCACTTTTACCTCTTTCTCATAATCTCCTCCACAGTTGACATGTTTGTTAAAAGATTTTTGTCAGACACCCTCGACTCTGCACTGTCCTCTAGTGGAGATACTGTTTAACAACCATACCGACATTAAGGAAGCATGGAAGTATGTGGGCAGTGGCATTTACATTGTTTGAAATGCATATTCTGTGTTTGCAGCATGTGACTGTTGCACCGCAGATCTGCTGCATCTCACAGGAGGCTGTTGTTCACACAGGGAGTGTGTCCGTTGTGTGACTGCAGTGTTGCTGCTTCGTGAGGTTTCTGGTACAACTACTGTATTCCCTATCGTAAAAGTGGGTCTACATGTTAATAGAGGCCCATGTAAAAAGATTAGAGCGGCCACACTGCCTGAGCTTCAGCCACGGTACAGCCACGGTACAGCCACGGTTCAGCCGCGCTGCTGTTCTACAGAACAGAGATCTTGTCTAAGTATTCCTCATACCGTGTGCGGTTCACAGCAGAATACACAATAAAATGATCTTTCAGTTTAAATGTTCAACATTCAAATATGTAACAAACATTAGTGTTTGCAACACTTACTGTACCCGTGAAAGCATTTCAGTATTTCTGTTGACGGAATCTATTCATTTGTTGAGTACATCACCCGACTTTTATAAATACAGTAGTTATACCACACAGCTGCCACACATGTTGCCAGGATGAACAACAGACAACCGTACACAGCAGAACCTCGATCCAGCCGTTCCGTGGTGCTACCACAGCCAGTGTGGCCCGGGCGTAAAGAGAGCCTTATTAATAATTCTTCCTGCAGCACTGCTACTGTTGTTCCTCACAAGCCAAAATCAAATAAAAGCTTTACATTGATGAAAATAAACCCATTGAAGGCTCTTACAGAAAATATGTAATTTACTCTGATGATGATGAAATAAAAGTGTGAATGTGATGCTTATTTCAAATAATTTAAGCTAGTGAGATATGTTCATAAATGTTATTGATACACTTGGCCAAATGTTTTTACCTGCAATGTGTTGACATGTATGGGTGTTCCACCTGTCCCATTCACTGTGTTGTTAGTTTTATTTGACTGCTTTCCTTCTTTCTCTTTCAAAGCTTTTTCCTTGGTGGCCATTTTGGTTTTCTCCTCCTCAATTAGTTTGGGGCTGTTCAGCATCACCTGAAGAGACAGAGAGGAGGGAATAAACAGACACACATAATTTAGCCCATTTTAATTTTTAGTGTATGTTAAAACAACATACAAAGCATAGCATCGTCTTTTTAAATATTCAGAACCACTTAACTGCAAGTGGATTCATTCATAGAAGAGCATGTAAATGTCTGACAATTGGAACTTAATTTGATTATTTGCACAAGTATTGGGAATACAGAATGTTGAGCTCTGCCCTCCCATTCTCTCACTCTGCATAAAAGTGTAGGTACCTCAGGTTGTAGCTCGCTGTTACACCTTACAAAGATGTAAGTCTATACAAACATGGCATTAATCCATCAATATTACACTTTGATATTATCACCCATAGCTCTGTGGGTTAGCTGTACAGACAAATTCTGACAAAAATTTGAGAGGCTAGACGGGATGTCATAGAGAAATACAAAATGCTCTGTTTTTCTGTAGACACAAAGCTAGTATCAGGACAAACATACTTTGTTGTGCAATTCTCCCTGGAGCGGAGTACCATTTGATGTAAGTGCCATATAAGTGTATCTAATTTTGATTTTGATTGTTTTATCCAAGGTCTAGTTGGAAGAGCTGTGTCTTTTGTCTGCAGAAGAAGATGTGTAGACTTTCTCCTGTCCTGATGTCAATTGGGAGCTCGTTCCACCATTTAGGAGCCAGGACAGCAAACAGTTGTGATTTTGTTGAGTGTAACCCGAAATGATGAAATGACTCCACCTCTCTTACATGTTTGCACTGATTTGATCTTCTCTTTCTCTTAGGAAGAGTGTAATGCAATCCTGCTCAAAATTATTAAAATGCTCACACTAACCTCCCATCTGGCTACATTGGGCTAGAAAAATCATTCAAATCAATTGTGATTTGTTTGTCACTATCTCAGTCAATTTAAAGATTTGCACAGGACATCGTACAATTACACGTGTGGAGGAATTAAAAATGAGAAGGTTATGCAAAGGTTTATGTATCCTCTTCACTTACTTTAATGAACACTTATTTGAACTTTGCCCTCTGTGTAATCTCTTGGTCTTTCTCTGCCTGTAAACTAATTAATTGTTGCCAGTGATTTGTGGCTTTGCCATTCAAATGCATCCATTGCTGTTTCTTGAGGCATTAACCTTACTCAGTTCAAGTGACACTGCTCTTGGTACCCTACATTTACATTAGTAAAAGCAAACAATCAACTTGTCTCTGTCACTAGCAAATCATTTATTTGCACAATATTTAATTCCACCTACCAGTCAACACCCATGAGTGGTGTGCCACTGCTTTCTCCTTTCTCTACAGACTGGTCAAGGATGGTCTAACCCAGTGATAATATGGAGATTTACAGTTGTATCAATGTGAAAGTTTGTGTGTATGGACTGACCTGCACCACAGCGTATTCCACAAGTGAAGAAAACCCAAAAAGCAGACAGGCGATGAGCCAAATATCAATAGCCTTTACATAGGAAACCTTTGGTAGCTCAGATGCCAAGAGCATACTCTCACTGGACAGAGAGAGTACTGATAAAATACCTAAAACACACAGATGGTAACACATTAATGTAAACACATGTGAATGATTATTTCCAGTTAACTATTATTTGAATCAATCAAATTTACTTAGGTCAGAAAAAGGGTTTTTAAAGGGTTTGTTAGCAACATTGTATTTATTAGGATAACTTTATGTTACTATATAATTAACCATGAACAAGATGTGTTGTGGCAGTTTGGCCATCCACCTGTTCAAGCACACAATTTGCGGGACTTTTTAAAACATTATTCATACACTGCCAGTACGACCCTCTGTATCTCCTGAGCCACAGCCTGAGCTACAGCCGCCCAGAACCATTTTGCTACTGATCTTTTTTTTAAATACATATATGTTTTTTATTGAGTATCAATGGTACAAGGTATGCACAGAACAAGAAACACAAGAAAGTCTAAAAAACAATTCTCACATTTCTGTTGTGTTCTCCAAGAGAAAACTTTCCTTCAGTTTAAAAGAATTAGATGCCTGGCCAGCAGGGTGCAGAAGACCATGGCGTGTTTTACTTCAGCTGAGAGTTCTTTCTTAGGTGGGATACCAAATAGGGCAGAAAGGGTATGTGGATCTACTATGAGATTGTAAACCATTTAAAATGTGTAAATTACTTTAGACTAAAAGTTAGTACATTTTGGGAATGACCAAAGCATGTGTACCAGGTTGGTGGGGAACTGGCAACATCTTTTACAGGCATCATTGAGATTGGGGTAAAATTTAGACAATCTGTGATTAATGTAATAAATTCTGTGTATGATTTTGCATTGTATGTGACTATGCCAGGCACAGATGGAGGAGTTGTGGACTAACTCAAGAGTTTTGCCCCATTACTCATCCTTTATTTTGAGCCCCAGATCTTGTCCCATTCTTACCTAGTTTGAGGGGGGAAGACTGAAATGACAGTCCATGGTCCCACAAAAATAAGAAATATTGCCTCTCTATTTGAGATCCACCATAAAAAGAGTATGAATTAATGATTTTGGGGGATTATTCTGACAATGTGTATACTGATTCTCAACAAAATCTAATTTGAAAAAAACGAAAGAGGTGAGATGTTGGTAACTGAAATCTAGTTGCCAGGTCAGTGAAGGATATGAAGATCCCATTGTTATACAGTCATTAATTGATATTGTGCCCTTATTTGACCAAAGTGGAAAGGCAGAATCGATTGTAGATGGCTTGAAATTCTGATTATGGAATGCAGGGGCAAAAGTAGAGGGACTCTGCTGGACGAAAGGCTTTCTAAACTGCAACCAGAGACTGGACGACAGTGGCCGACACAAGAAATTGCGAGCACAGCAATGACTGTAATAAGATCTTGGTGGAAGAACTCTCCATTTGGACCCAGGAAGGCTGATCGGCTATAGATTTGTCCATCCAGTATAAAGGTTTGTGAATATGAGTCGCCCTGTAATACTGTGAAAAAATTGGGAAGTGCAAGGCCCGCCACCCGTTTAGGAAGCTGCAAGATCTTTTACTGCCCCTGAGGAAATGTATATTGATTTGTCTAATTTGGCAATTCCAATAAGTGTAGGAATATGATGGTAAAGGTAGAGGAACTTAGGCAGAACAGACATTTCAATCAGATTTTGATTGCCTTTTAAGGACAGTGGTAGAGTAGTCATTCTGACAAAATCCTTTTTTAAGTAGAGGGACAAAGTTGCTGTTGAAAGTGTCTGCTAGGGATTTTGTAATAAAAATACCTAAATATTTAAAACCTTTATACACCTACTTAACCAAACACAATTCACTCTTCCCAAAATTAAGTTTATAACCTGATAGTTGGCCAAATGGTTTTCAATTTGGGAGCGATGTAGAGGGATTCAATACGTAAAGGAATAAATCCAATGCATAAAGTGACAGCTTATGTATTGTTCCCAGGCGAGAAATCGCCCCTCAGATCACAGCCAAATGGCCAGTGACTCAATGGCAATAGAAAACAAAAAAGGGGGTAGTGGGCACTGTTGTCTTGTGCCAGGTTGTAGCTGAAAATGGGATGACATAATATTATTTGTTGATTTTGGAAGCTACTTAAGCAAGCAACACCTGTATAGTGCTGGAGCTAGGTACATTAAGTATGTTTAAAAGTCTTCTGGTGTTGTAGAAGGATTACTACCCAACATGAAGCCTGTTTTAGCTAATGAAAGGATCAGGGGTAAAACATGCTCGAGGTGGAGGGCTAAAATCTTTGATTTTGCAATATACGTTTAGTAATGATATGGGTCTAAAGCTGCTGCGAAGTAAAGGGTCCTTATCTTTTTTTAGGAGAACTGTAATTGTAGCATTAGTAAGAGTTGGAGGGAGACGGCCAAGTGACAAAGTCTCATTATATATATCACACAAACCTGGACAGAAGGAGAGATGCAAATGTCCTCCGTGAATCCATTAGTGATTTGCCTCTCTGTAAACCTGTAATCGCACTCATAATCTCATTTGTTGAAATTGGCCTGCATAGATCCTAAACTTAGTGGTATTCAATATATTATCTGTTTTGACTTGAATGGAATCAGAAGTGTATAAGTGTATAAGTAAAATTTGGCAAATGTTTCATTATGGATTTTGTATTATAATTCATTATTGAATATTATTTCAAATATTTTGTCTCAACTCAGCCCTGCATGTCCAGTCCTGATGGTCTCAGGTTGGGTATCCCCAGAAGCTCAGCCTAGGGTACACCTGCAGTTCTGTGTTTCCAGTGATTTGCTGCTCCAGATCAGATAAGTGCAGTCTGTACCCCTCCTTTCTCTCTTCCTTTCCCCCTCTCTCCTCAGTGTTTGGCAATATTACTTTTGACTTCAAATTTGATATCCAACTTTTTTTACTTGACCGGTCTCTCCTGATACAGCTTTCACTGAAAGTGTAACAGCATTCCACATATCATCGTTTTTGTTATGCTGACACAAAAAAATATAACAGCTTTTCTATGGGTTGAGTCTATTTATATTTTTAAAGACAATCTTCTCTCTGTCTTTGTCCCACAATAAGCATGCTTTGCTTATGGATTGGGAGTTTTGCATGGCAGATTATGATCAAATTAGAAATTTCTACAACAGAGTTATTATACTTGCCTGTAAATGTTGGAGGCTAGATAATTGCTGTCCCTATCTGACCACTAAATTGAATGTCAATTTATTCAAACATATCATCGAAAACATTTATTGGTGGTACTTACCCAGTGGCACCCTTGCAGCTGAAGCATCAGGGTTTATCCAGAATGATAACCAGGACAAAACAACAATCAATAAAGTTGGGGCATAAACTCCCATCAAATAGAAACCAACCTGCCGACGCAATGTAAAAATCACTTCAACACAGGTGTAGTATCCTAGAAACAGACAGAGAATGAGTAATCATGAATAACTCAGAAAAATACTTGGGAATTACTGTAAGAATTACAGAGGTTAAGCAGAGGTACATGTTGGGCCTTATTCACCAACTGTTCTCAAGAGGAAAATAAACCTAAACCTCACTTATAGACTTTCTACAAGGATTCTGCCATCCACCATGTTTTCTAATCTGAGATTTGTTCTTGTTCCTTTTTTTTTTATTTTTACATTTGTATGATAACATTTTATATTATCATTATTTATTACAAAAGACACAAGTTTCAGTGCATATTTTTAACTTTTGAAAATTTGAGTCTCTCAGAGAATTTGAACACATGGGTATGTTAAAGAGAAGAACAATTATTCATAAAAATAGGCACTAATCTTTAGGTTTTACACACTGGTGTGCACATATTTAATATATCACCTGCCCCCCTCTCTCTTCTGTGTTTGACAATATTTCTATCTACTTAAGCTCTTACCCTATCAAATTTGTGAGTCTCTCCTGATACAGCTTTCACTGAATGTGTAACTGCATTGCATGTATTGTTTTTTTGTTTTATTTTATAGCCACTGCTGACACATAACAGCCAGTTACACAACCATTCTTATACAGTATTTTCATTAAGTCATGTGTGTGTCCTGCAGTGTCATGCCCTTTTTTTGGGCATTAGCAGGGTGCAGACCTTTGCTAATTAGGAACTCAAGAAGACATGCCATCCATCAATACAAGAAAACACAGAGTTTTCTAGGGGAACTTCAAGTATAATGGTGAATAAGGCCAACTGTCTGTATCTTCAGTTCTATTTTTAAACAGCCTTGTAGCTTGTTGCTGCTGCATGCATATAGGATCTGGCAATGAGACATACAGTATGAGATGTGCTGTACCTCATCACCAGATCTCAATCCTTTGACATTTACTTATTCTGTTGATGCAGAATATAACTTATGGAAAGCACAATGGCAGTATCACCTGTAGACGTTGCATGGAAATCAAATAACTCTTGTCAATTCTCTGACATGAAGATTATTTGAAAACATTAAGATTACATTTTGACATATCATCATAAAAATAGCGGAGGTACCTACAATAGACTTTGGCAACTTTGCCTTTTATTTTCCACAGCACTGCGAACTTTAATTTTTACTTTGTTGCTAAAATAAGTAGTAGACATATTATCAGAAAGGGTAGCTTAACTTCCTCCTTTTCCACACAGCATCAAATGGGTAAAGATGTGAAAATCTCCAATTGTGCACAGAAAGAAGAAAGCTACCTCACGCAATGAAAGGCTGGAGTTCTAAAACTGTCGATTTCCCAGTAGTTACTATGCTACTATCTATTGTTGTAATAATTGATTACTAACCTGTTCCTTGGTAGTACTTTGTGCAGTTTCCATATTTTATGTCCTCTTGTTTAATGTCAAACTGAGGAAGAGCAATCTCATCCATCTGAACTGGGTCAGACTGCCACATAAACACAAGATCACTGGTGGTATACCCAACTAAAAT